GTGAGAAGTACATACAGGGACAGATGACGTGGCTGGGAGGAAAAAATCTGAAGCATGCTTAGCATAGCAAAGAATGTAAACTGAACCTTTTCATGAAAGAGACAAAACAGTGCTGACAAATGGCTATTAAGCGCAAGTCAGACCAGTCATCAGTGGTGCTTTATTGTTCACAGTATTCTGAATCGCTTGAGAATGTTTCATTCATAGAAAGAGCATTCTTGTGAGAGCGAAAAATCTGAATATATCTGACACACAAAAAGCCAAGTTGGGTTAGGGGCCGTGCAGCCATGAGCAAAGTTCAACTTAAGACAGAAATTTCCAAAGACTGACGATGAGGGACACAGCAAAGCATCCAGCTGAAGTAAGTCATCATGCATTCAAATCATAGAATGGAAGTTATTGGTGAGACTATGAACTGAACAATACTTACAGGGTTACAAGGTTACCTGACTTTTTAAAATTTCCAAGCAGCTAACAATTAAGAAAACAAGAGACATTCATTTGAATGACAAGTTTTCTGCTAATACATACAGTGCCACAAGCATATAAAAAACACATTATCATGAAGCAGACAGTACATACATTTCTCCTCCCCAGTTTTTTTTTTAAAGAATATTTCACAAATAAGAAATGCTTCTGACCACACTGTAATGCCAAAATGACAACAGACAATGCTATCTTTCAAAACAAGCCAACAGAGGAAAAAAAGGCAAAAACAAAAACACTGCACAACACATTACTGTCAATCACTTCAACTGTGCAAGTAGAATGGGTCTGAATTTTAGCACACCCCTCCACCCTCAGGATGTCAATCAATCAACTGCTTGTAAGGGAGGGTGCTCATTTTTTTTCACAAAACAACACAGAATCCAACAATAGCAGAATTTGATTAGATGGTATCGAGCTTGAAGGCAGAGCCAGCACACAGTGAGCCTAAAAAACAGAAAGACTGCACACACATTCCAAAGCAACCACTCTCACATCCCAGAAAGATCCAGGGAAGAAAGCAAGAAAGCCATAGTAGTGACCACTATGACGCAGAGAGGGCCAGAATGCTCTTTGTGGCTTGGCTGCGCCAGCTCAACCACTGGGGTCAAGAGCTCAAAGGCTCCTTTCGGGACTGCCAAGCAGTTATCACACAGATCTGTGGACAGATGTTCAGCACATTTCCCCCAAGTGTGTGCATGAATGGATGCGCAAAGGTTCATTTTTTTTAAAGACCAAAACATTCAATGTTTTAACAGGTAGAGGAGGGAAAACATAGGAGCGAAAATACAGAAAAGAGACAGGATGTGAAAGTGAGAATCCTTTAGAGGCTGGGAACCTATCCAACAACTGGAAATGGAAGTTGCCTTAGTATATTTAAGCTGGAACATAGTGCTATAATCAGAATTTTTTAAGGATAAGTAATAAAAACAACATAAAACAAGAAGGACAAAAAAAAAAAGAAAAATTTCAGAGCTGTACATCTACATTCACAAGGTGGAGGCATATGCATCATAAAAAAGGATAAAGAAGAAAAGAGTTCAAAATAGTTAAATTGTTGTTTAACTATTTTTCAGCTATGTCTGACTCTTCATGACCCCTTTTGGGGTTTTCTTGGCAAAGATACTGGAGCAGTTTGCCATTTCCTTCTCCAGCTCACTTTACAACTGAGGCAAGATAGGGTTAAATGACTTGTCCAGGGTCAAGTAAGTATCTATAGTAAGTATCTGAAGTAGTAAGTAGTAAGTATCTGAAGCCAGATTTGAATTCAGGTTTTCCTGACTCCAGGACAGGAGCTCCATCCACTAAGCCATCTAGCTGCCCATGGTTAACTTGATAAGGCTAATAAGCAATAACTGACTTTCACAGGATCATAGATTTAGAGTGACCCCAGTACAACCTCTTCATTTTACAGATGTGGAACCTCAGGCCCAGAGAAGTTATGTGATTTGCCCAAAGTCACACAACTTTCGGAATCCACATACATGATCACTGATAAATGGAACACTGCCTAAATTCCTAAAAGGCAACAAATGCCAGACGTTCTCTTAAGGTGAAAAGAAAAAAAAAAAGAGTAAAGGGGACAAGACATTGAAGATTGTGTGAAGAGAAAAAGAAACCTTAGTTCAGAATTTGTTCTCATGACGTTAGTTGAATCTAAGAAAAAAAAAATCTTAATGGAAATTTCACAATTAACCAGAAAACACTGCTTCAGACCACTAAAGAGATTTCTTTTCTTTTTTTTTTTTTTTTGCTTTTTGGTGAGGCAATCAGGGTTAAGTGACTTGCTCAGGGTCCCACAGCTAGTAAGTGCCAACTGTCTGAGGCAGGATTTGAACTCAGGTCCTCCTGACTCACTTAGGGAGTACTGAGAAGGACTGAGGCTTCTTTTGATGGCTCACATCCCTTCAGTGCTTCTGGAGTCATCATTCTGAATGGTGGTCACAGTTCTACAGTATTACGGATATGCACATTGTAAGAAACTGGGCAAAACCCACAGTTACTCCAGGAAGTTGTTTCTGAATATATTCCAGATACTTGCCCACTTTCTTGGGATTTGTGCCTCTCTTCCCTAAAACTTGAGCCTACAGAATTCCACTATCATTGTGGAAAGATAGATCTGGTTTGATATGAGGAAAGACTTCCTAGGATATTCAGCTGTCCAAAAGTTTAATCATCTTCTTAGAAAGGTAGAGAACTCCCTCAGCTAACATAAAGCAGAGGCTGGATAACAATTTGGAAGGGGTTTTGCAGAGGGGATTCCTGTTCAAGTAGGTTAGACCAGACAAGTTCAGTGAACCTTCCCAACTTCTGAATGTCTATGATTTTATAAGGGCTTTAATTAGTTGTATTCTGTCTGGTTTAGGCTTAAGTCTTCATTCTAGGAAACAGACTTACCTAAATGTGAACAATACTATTAGAAATGCTCAGTGAATTATCATCCATTTGCAAATGCTGAGTATAATCCCATTTATAAAGCCCCCCTCCCCTGCTAAGATAAAACAAGAAACCTTTAAAAACTAAAAAGGTCATTGAGGAATCCTAGCATAAGCTCAGCAGGAGCTCTGGGTCATGGAAGGTAGCCTGCAGCACTGTGGATGGAAGGTTTAGAATGAACTGAGCCAAGGGGGAGGAGGGAAAGCACGTAGGGAGTCTGAGGACAATCTACATTGGAAAAGAGAGGGAAAAAGAAGGCTGTGACACTCTGAGCTTGATCAAGAATTAGGAATTATGAAAGCAAGGCACTTAACTTGGACTGTCTACTGAGAGCACATAGTTCTTGAAGATAGCCCTGGGTCAATCTGCAGAAAGTCAAACTTCTTAATATTTTAGGTGACAGCGAGATAAAGAGAAGCAACACCGGAAATAAAGGAAAACTGGGATCTGAATACCAATTTTATATAAAGAAGATATCTTAAATCATGGTGGCAAATAATAAACAACCACCTTGTAGGACAGACAAGTAGAGTCAATTTGCTCACTAGCAGCTCCCTGATGAAGTAAAAGATTTGATGATGGGTTAATATTAGCTTCAGGACCATTTAACTCTATAAACCATATTGCTGTTATTCAGTCATGTCCAACCCTTCATGACGCCATTTGGGATTTTCTTGGCAAAGATAAAGAAGCGGTTTGCCATTTCCTTCTTCAGCTCATTTGACAGATGAGGAAGCTGAGGCAAACAGGGTTAAGCTGACTAGGATCACATAGCTAGTAAGTATCTGAGGCCAAATTTGAACTCAAGTCTTCCTGACTCAAGGCTTGTCACTCTCTCCACTGCACTACCTAGCTGCCCCTCAGCTCCATATTACTCCCCTCTAATAAAAGCTCTTCCCAAACCCTCACACTCACCAAACCTATTTAATCTGACCTTCTCCTCACTCTCACCAGGACTTTCAAACACTCAACTCCTCCTCACATCAGTCCTCCCTAGCTGCTCTGGAATTCTTCCCCAAGCCAAACCTCAGAACTAGTAACTTATATGTTCATGTCATTAGCACACCGGACTCCCTGGACCTTGCATCAGGACCATGGTACAATTCCCCAATCTTATCTAGTATTTGCTTCATCAAGCCTTGCTTCTGGAACACAGACTACTGCTAGAAAAAAGTCCCACTATTTTGTCATTAGCCTCCTGCTCTTTTCCCTTATGCTTTCTCTCTTTCCTTTATCTCTCATTATCCCTTCTTTAGCTAATATTTCCAAATATCTCTCTCTATTCCTTACTCCTCACTCAAATGAGACTCAAAGCTCATTTTTTTTCAGCCGTCTATAGGAAAGCTTCACTTGATATTTCACCATCATCCCAAACTCAACAGGTAAAAATTTCATCTCACCATCTTCCTTCCCAAACTAGATCCTCTACCCATTTCTGCCAATGATAACAGTATTCTGTCTGGTTGAAACTTTAGAGTCTATTTCAATTGTTCCTCTTTCATCTCCTACAAATCCCATTAATTTTTCCTTTTTCTTTCTAAAAGTCCTTTCTTTCTTTACATTTCACTTATCCAACCAACCACTCAACCAACAAGCATTTAGTAAGCATCCCATATGTGCCAGGCACTGTGCTATGCCTTGAGTCAAAAAAAAGAAAAAAATTGATCAAGTCCTCCAGGAAATTATATCCAGAATTTCATCATTTTAAGACTAACTGGCATCCCAGCTTCAATCCCTGTTCAATTACATCCACTCTTCTACACAGATACCAGACTATTAACAATTATTTCACCTATGTTATTCCTGTGCCCACGGACCTAGAATGACTCCATACCCTCTACCAATTACGTTCACATTACTAAATTCTACATCCAAAGCCTTCCAACAGCTGGACTCAATACCTATCCACACTCATTACCCATTTTTCCTGAACACAAGCCCTTATGTTAGTATAATAGTATTACTGGCTCTCATTCATTGATTAAAATCCACAATTAAAAAAAATTACATATGTCAAAATATTGAACAATTTTGCCCTTACTTTTTAAAAGTATCAACATCTCTATAAACATACGTACCTCTTTTGGTAAAGACACTAATTTGTTTCTGTCCGCATTCAAGTTGCTCAACTTCTTTAGTTTTCCAATACTTTTGGGCAATGTCTGTTTTAATGACAACAATTTATTATGGTTAAGAAAATGTGCTTCATTTACTGCTTATCCCAAGGGAGTTTTAAAAAATTCACAAAGATTAATTTTTCAAGAGAAAACAACAGTTTTTCTTTAACTGGAAGCCTTAATATACATATTATTTTTGTGATTACTAATATATTACATGTTATTATACAATTATTCTGCAAATTCTTACATTACATGGACCTTTACATGGGGCATGAGTTTAAGCAAGCTAAGTTTTGAAATTAGGATGTAACCTAAGTAAAATTCTCTTCTTTGGCAACAGGAAATAATAATAATAATAATAATAATAATAATAATAATAATAATCCTTTATATGGCCTAGCTTTAAGATATACAAAGCACTCTACAAATATCATGTTATCCTCATAACATCCCTGGGAAGTAGGTACAATTGCTTCTGGAACACAGATGAGAAAACTGAGGTAGATAGTGGTTAAGTGACTTGTTTAGGGTCACATATTAGTATCTGAGGCCAGATAATGATGAAGATGATGATTTGACGACAATGATGATAGCTAGTATTTATATAGTGCTTACTGTATAACATACTTATACGTGCCAGGCACTGTGCTAAGTACTTTATAATTATTATCTCATCTGATTCTCACAATAACCCTGGGAAACAGGTGCTATTATTATCCCCGTTTTACAGATGAAGAAACTGAAGCAAAATGGTTAAGCCACTTGCCAGAGTCATAGCTAGTAAGTATCTGAGGTTGTATTTGAATTCAGATCTGTCTAAATCCAGGCCTAGTGTTCTACCTTCTGTGCCACCTGTCTGATAGGAAAACACCTAAATGAAAAAAGAGATGCTACTCATCTCCAACAGGACACAAATCCATACCTTTCTGGGGCGAGGATCAAACATTTAGAGCTGGCAGGGGTCACAGAGGTCACTGACTCCAGCCTGCAAAGCCCAGATTTGACCAAGTAGTCAGAATCTGAACCCAGGTCCTCTGGCTCTAAATCTTGGGTTTTTCCCACAATGCTATGCTGCCTCCTTATCTTGTGACAACAGAGTAGAAAGTACCCTGGAAGGCACACAGCTGGGGCTGCCACTTGGAATACTGATGAGAGTTGGGCAAAGAAGGTCACAGGAAGAAGAATAATGTATGGAAAAGAAGAAAGTATAACAGGTAGAAAAAAGAATAGAATGATGCTGAATCAGCTGTGTTCAGAAGGTTTGCAGTTTTTATAATAGTTCAAACCCTGCTTAGTCTTAAAGAGAATTTTTTCATCTAAAATTGTAAATACCCCACAAAGAAGTTGGTAAACTTCACCATACATGGCAGAGGGTCACAATCTAAGCTACGATTTGAAATGCTATCAATTGATTCCTATCCCCCAACACTGCCTGCTTCAGCATGTTTACCCCTAAATTTGCTGCTCCTTATTGCATAAAACCTACAGCCTTCCTTGTAGCTCCCTTACTCACCTTACATAGAACCATCATGAAATCACAGAATCAGAGCTGAGAGCTCCAAGGTCATCTAGTTCAATCCTCTCATTTTACATGAATTAAGCCCAGTCCAAATGTTCATGGGTCTATTTGTGTCCGACCTGTGATAGAGCCTTCCCAACTCCTGTTGGTCTGATCAGCCACAGTCGGACACACTGGACCTTGATTCCAACATGTTGATGTCATTTTGGTCCTCTTTAAGAATGAAGGACAAAAACCAACCAATTAGGCCCAGAGGGTTGACGTGGCTTGTCCAAATTCATTTAGGTAGTGGTGAAACCAGGATTTAAACCAAGTTCCTCTGACTCTAACATTGGTGTTCATTCCTCTGGTACCATCATGCGACATGGAGGAAAGAACAAAAGAAGGTAGGAAGAACTATGAGAGGAAAAGAAAGAAAAGGAAAGGAGAGAAGAGAAGAATGAAAAGACTAGAGAAGAAAAAAAAGCAGGAGTAGGAGAAGAACTAGAGAATATATGAGAAGGAAGAAAGATAAAAGTGGCCAAAAAAACGAATGAAAAAGCATTTATTAAATGAAAAAACAAAAATTTTCTTTTAAATGTACATCATAAAATGAAAAGATAAAGAAGAAAAGGGGAAAAAGAAGAGAATACTGAACAGAGAAAAAAAGAGAAAGAAGACAGATGAATAACAACCCAGGAGCCTTCTAAAGGGGAAGTAAAAATAGGATGAGGGGGTTACACTATTGTTGGACATAATTAGAAATTGTTTTTATAGGGTCTCAGGACTATGAGATATATTTAAAGTGTTAGGGTAGTTACAGGCACCTTTATCTCCCAGGCACCTTTATTCCAGAATTAGAAAGGAAATAGACTGGGAGTGAGAGGGAAGACCAGGGTCACTTGGTGAGAGGCAACATAGACACTGAGTAGTCACCCGTTCCAATTTCAATTCCACCACTGTCCCATCAATCTATTCTTTGCCCTTCTCCTCACTGTTTTCATACTTGAACCCAGGGGCAGCACGGAGGAGTGGAAAGAATACTGGACTTGGAGTCAGAAAGACTTGAATTCAAATCCTGTGTTTCAGTTCCTCATCTGTAAAATGAGGAAGTTGGACCAGATGGCCTACATGGTCTCTTCCAACTCTAAATCTATGTTTCTATGTCCCAGAGACAGGGAAAGGTAACAGTAATCAGTGTGGTTAACCCTAACAGTTGCAATTTTTCATGGTCTTAGGGTTCCACAGTAGTAAGAGGTGCAAAGGTGTTAATACCAGCTCATCAAAGCATCCCATTAATGGGGTCTTACCTGCCAGGCAAGTCTTTCATGCTGGCAAATCAAGTTGTTTCTAAACTGTCACAAGCTGCAGAGTCATCAACACTGGAGCACTCCACATACATACCCTTTGGTGGTACCAATCATGGATGAATGCTCCTAGTTTAGATACTAAAGAGCTCCAGATCCCAAGAGGCAGCAGAAGCTGGAGTTCAAGCTTACTATACATAACACACCAGTGAGGTCTTATTTACAATATGGCACCGATCATCAATCAATCAATCAATCATTCAACAAGCATTTCTAAGTGCTTACAATATGTCAGATACTATGATAAGAACTGGGGATAAAAAAAAAGGGAAAAAAATATAAGACAGCCCTTACCCTCAAGGTACCTACCTTCTAATGGGGGATATATGCATATAAATAGGTATACAGAAGATATGTCAGAGTAGACAGAAGATAACCCTAGGGAGGAAGGCTTTAGCAGCTGAAGCATGAGAATACTGAACTTGGAATCACAGGGCCTGAGTTCAAATTCTTGTTGTGCCACTGTGTTTAACCAGTGACCTGTATTACCTAAGACAGGGGTGGAGAACCTGAGGTCTCAAGGCCACATGTGTCCCTCTAGGTCCTTGAGTGCAGCCTTTTGACTGAGTCCAAGTGTTATAGAACAAATTCTTTTATTAAGGGGTCTTGAGGTCACAGGTTCCCCACCCCTGACTCCTAAGACAAGTCAGTTAACCTCTCTGAGTCTCAGTTTCCTTATCTGTAAAATGAGGAGGGTGAAGCAGATAATCTCTAGAATCTGTGATGCTAAAAACTCGGCCACTAAAACCATGATATAACCTTGGACGAGGTCTTTCCCCTCATTAAGCCCAAGTTTTCTCATCAGTAAAATGAATGATTTTCCTACTCTAAAAATCTGCAATCCTCTGGTTATGCTAGCCAAGTGACCAATTTAATGGCCTTATTTTTTTTTAAATGCATATATATATTTTTTCTTTAATATATGAATACAACTTAAGAAATGGCATTTAGGAAAATTCTTCCAAAATGTGGTATTCAAAGGCAAAATCATGATAGTAAAATGTTACTAATAAAGACAAACTGAGAAGGATAACCTAAATTTATCAATAGGTTTTCATTATATTAATGAAATAAGTTTTCCCTATTGCTATAAAAAAGGATAATATTATCATTACTTAGAGAATGTGCTTTGATTAATAAAGATAATGTGAAATGAGTATTTTTGAAGTCATACAAGCAATAAGTACCACAAAACAATTTGCTGAAAAACACTGTTCTCTGAGTAGTTAAAATAGTCACCTTTAAATGAATTAATCTAATGGACAAACCTTTTCTTTAGGGCTAGTAAAAAGGTCATTTCAGTCCAGCCGACATCAACACCAACTGGTGTAGAGTCTGTCCTACCAAGATTCACTGAGTAGCCAAAGCCGTGGACCTCCCTCCTTCCTTCCCTCCCTATTGTAAACAGCAACACAGCTGAATAACAGGAACCCACTCACCAGAAGCTGGTTTTCAGTCAGAACAAGCTCAGTGAGGCTTTCGCATTCTCCAATTGCTTCCGTTAGCTGCACGAGTCTATTCTGATCAGCCTTTAAGATGGACAGTTTCTTTAACTTTCCTATAAGAATATAATTTTAAAATGAGTGGAAAACATCAGATGGAACATCAGATGGAGAGGATCTGTGGTAGAGTCAAATACAGAGTGTCCCAAAAGTCTTAGCGTGGTTTCAAGCATTAAAGTTTAAATATTCCCTAAGATTTTAGGGACACCTGAAGAGTTGGCCTTGGAATTAAGGAAGACCAAGGCTCAAGTCCTTCCTGTAACATACACTGCCTAAGACCATAAGTTACAGATGAGTTGCTATACCAAGTGACATTGATGGAAGGAGTTTTCATACTAGGGGTTCATTACTTTGATGAACTAACCCCCCGCCCTACCCAGACCCTGATGAAGGAGGGAAAAAGTTTCAGTTATCTGCTCTTTGAGCAAACATCCAATGTTTTATTCATGCTGGCATGGGAGAGGACATATTTTAGTATTAGTTCACTCAGCTTTTTAAATTATAAAAAGATATTTTATTTGCCAAATGATTCAATAACAAATAAAACTGATTCTTGAACAGAAGATTAAAATAGCGTAGTAACTACAAAACAATTACTCCAAAACACTGAAACTGGTAGGTGCTTCCTCCTTATCTCCCCCTCTTAGACTCCTTCACATCTTTCAGGGCATAACTCAGAGGCTACCTCCTCCAGGAGGACTTCCTTTATTGCTCCCAGTTAATAACAGTCTCTCCCACCTAGAATTATTTTGTATTACTTTGCATTTACTTAATAGTAAACACATTATTTCCTCTGAGGAGAAAGTAATCTGCCTGAGGGCAGAGAATGGTTTGTCTTTGTCTCTCCAGGGTCTATCACAGTGCCTTGTTTATTAATACATGTTTGTTGAATTGAACTTTGGAAGGCATGGACCATGTCTTCCTTATCTTTATATCTTTGTATCAGTATGTTAGGCAATAGGGGAAATACAAAAAAAAAAAAGATAAGACAATCACATTGAATGAATGAATGAATGAATGAATGACAGTCAAGGGTAATACTGTTTTTCAAGCCAGAGATGATCAAAACTTCCAAATTATCCTTGCTTGGTATTTCACTCTCTCGCATCTCCCATATCCAATACACAGTACATCCTGAAAGTCTTTGGGCAGTAAAACTGCACTGTTTTGCTCTGTACTGTCAGTCCTTGGCAATTCCACCTTGACATTTCTTCCTTCAATCCCCTTTTGTCCAATTTGTACCATAGTGACTTTAGCTGACTGGCTAAGAGCACAAAGGTAGCCAGTGATAGAGACAATTTTTGAACTCAGGTACTCATAATCTGTCTCTGATTATCGTGAGGAGGGCACTGTGTAAATCTTAAGACACTATAAATGTGACAGCTCTTAATGACTGTAAATCAGGTCTGGGAAAAGAAGAATGAAGATGCCCTCTGTAATTTACTCAGAGCAGCCAGTGTTAATGAGCCCTTTCCAAAGCAAAGTCAGAATACAGCCTGTACCTTAAAGGTTGAGACAATCACCCTGAGTAAAAAGAGCATCAGTCTCATCTCGTGCTCCACTGTCACTGAGAGTGGAGGCAACTGTTTTATTTTCAAAGGGTTCCACCGGATCCTTGTGCAAGCCTGTGCAATCATTAATTCTGTAATGATGTTCCCAAGGGCTTGCCACCCTCCCTGTGTGACAGCACATCACCATTAACTGTACAATGCACACAAAACCCCTTCCTGCTAACTTAGGAGTTTTCTATCACTTCAGTATTTTTTTTTAATCTTTTTTTGGAGAAGGGGGAAGGTCCAAACCTGTGATTCAATTTGTGTAGAAAGAACCCAGATGACTAAATTCCCTCTCAGAAGGCGGAACCTATATAGTGTTAGAGAGCTGCCTCGGGCACCAGGTGATATAAGTGATTTGACCAGTACGTGTCCAAAGTGGGCACCAGATCTTCTCCACTCTGAGGCCGGCTCTTATTCACTCACCACACTGCCTCTCATCCATTACCTGGGGATACTTAATTATCATTTGTTTTAAAGATTTTTGTTTTCTTTTCACCTTCCTAAACAGTGCCTAAAGTCTCAGAAATTTATTTACCTACCACTGCTCCATGCCACCCTCCATGGCCTGCAGCTCTCTGCCATACACACTAAGGCAACAGCTGAAATTTTATTGTTGGAGAATATCACAAATACAAGAAAGGAGGTAGACATAAATATTTGTGTGATACTACAACTACTACTGGGAAAGCTGATTGCAAAATGACTTTTTCAGTATTCAAAAGCCTTTTTTAAGTCTCCTTCTTCTCTTAGGTATTTAAATTTGGTAACAACTATATAATTAAAATGCATGATTTCTCACTTTTTCAATGTATTTTGTTGAAACATGCTAGAACCACATGGCATGTAGTGAAAAGAGCTCTGATCTTGGAATTAGACAATCAGGTTTCAAATCCTAGCTCTGCCCCTTATTATCCATGAAACTGGACTAGTCACTTAACCAAGTCTCCCTGTGTGTACAATGAAGATGATGATATTTCTCTACTTCACCAATTTATGAAAAAAGTACTTTATGAATAATAAAACACAATATAGATGTGATCTATTACTAGCTAGCTTACTTTCCTGAACTACCTAAGGAAAGGCAATGTAATCTACTGGGTGGAATGTTAAGACTTGGAGCTATAAAGCCCTGGGTTGAAGTCCTTCCTTAGATGCTGGGCAAGTCCCTTAACCTATCTCAGTCTCGGTTTCCTTGTCTTTTAAAAAGGGGATGATGATGATGATGATGCCCCACTTATCTTACAGGGTTACTGTGAGGATCAAATGAGACATTCTAAGTAAAGTGTTCTACAGATCTTAAAATCAGTTATGATGATGATGATGATAATAATGTTGAAGCCTATTTATTTACAAGGTGGTGCAGTGGATAGAGCGCTGGGCCTGGAGTCAGGAAGACTCATCTTCCTGAATTCAAATCTTGCCTCAGACACCCTAGGCAAGTCACTTAACCCTGTTTGTCTCAATTCCTTATTTGTAAAAGAAGCTGGAGAAGAAAATGGCAAACCACCTCAGTATTTCTGCCAAGAAAACCCCAAATATGTCATGAAGAGTTAGCAACAACTGAAACAACTGCATAACAACGATTTATTTATGAGTAGAATAATTTTGCTTTTTTTAAGTACTAAAAATTGCCAAAACAAGGTTCTATTTCTATGAATTATCAGCCTTTGCAACAAGCCAAGCAAGAAGCAACTTCTTGGGGTAACAACAGTCCATTCTAATTCAATAAATAATTCAATCAGATCTAAATTAACTTATCCAAAAAGTTATTTACAATACTATAGCAGAAATACTTAAACTGGGTGATTTCACACCATGGGCAATTTTCATTTTTTTCATCCATACCTGACACAACTCAACTTCCACAAACATATACATACTAGGTACTAGTGATATCAATTTGAGTATTTTTATACTCAGTAAGCCCCAAAACACTACCAAACTGAGCCAAGTCTGATATTTTGCCTTTGCCTGATATTTTGACAATTAAAAATGGAATATCAGCAATTTTTTTTAAACCTACATTTAGTTTTGTTCTCTGCAAATTCCTTCAATGTCTCCTCTCTTCCCGGTACCACCAACCTAGTACAAGCCCTTATTACTGATGGTTTAGACCAATATATTAGTCTAACAGAGGGCAGCTAAATGGCACAGTAGATAGAGTACTGGGTCCAGACTTAGGAAGAGTCATCTTTCTGTGTTCAAACCTGGCCTCAGCCACTTAATAGCTGTATGACCCTGTGCAAGTTATTTAACCCTGATTACCTCAATTTCCTCATCTGTAAAATGAGACAGAGAAGGAAATGGCAACCCACTCTGGTATCTCCAACAAGAAAACTCTAAATGGGATCATGAAGAGTCAAACACAAGTGAAAAACAACTCAACAACATTAGCCCACCCTAAGAGGTCTATTCCCCTACCCTTTCTCCCTTTAATATTTTTTGTCAGAATAAACTTTCTCGTGCATAAATCTCATCATCCACTCAAAAACCTTCAGTGACTCTCTACTGATTTAGCTTTCAAACTTTCTTGCCTGGCATTCAAAACCTTCATGATATAATGCCACCCTATCTTTCAAGTCACATCTCATACTACTCTTCTTCATACACTCTGTGCTACAGTGAAACTCTACTAGTCTCTGTCCCCAAATTTTGTTCCTTTGGCCACTGTGTTACCACAATGTGCTAGCCTACTTCTCCCTTCCCCAATACATTCCTATCTGTCCTTTAAATCCAAAAACAAAGGCCTCTCCTCTGGGAAGTATTTCTGGATATTCCTATTAGGTGATGATCATTCATTCATTCATTTATCCAGTAGTTATTAAACATCTAGTACTGAGTATATAAAAACAAAGTTGAAACAGTTCTTGTCCTCAGGGAACTTACATTTTATTCAGGAAAAATAATAAATAACCCAGAAAAGTGAATACAGGTATCACTTCTACATCATGGGGGTCAGAAACATGGCACCCCCCTGATCTGGGAAATCTACACAAAATTTTTTGGCCCTTCCTTCTTACCAGAGAAGTATGAATTTTTTCTTTTTCTTTTATGGGCTATTTACAGTATTTTGTTGTAAAATTTGGGTTGATGTTATACAATACTATACATATATTTTACACATTTTTGAATTTCTAAACTTTTTCTGTGTCATCTGATGGCTTTGAATGTTGTCTGCGGCTTCCACAAAATTCCAAAAAAATCCCCATTTAACTTCTTATGCTGACCCACAATATATTGAAACCATGAAGGGAAAAGGCACAATGTGGAAGGGATAACTGTACAAAATATATAAAGTAGTATAGTAATGGGGAGGAGGAGAATGGGGGAAAAGGAAGAAAATATAGGCTTCTTATAGAAGGCATCTGATTTGAGCTTTGAAGGAAGTTAGGGATTCTAAGAAGCAGAGGTGAGGCAATAGTGCACCTTCCTTGCAGAAAGGAACACCATATGCAATAAGCCCTGAAAGGTAGGACAGATCCAAACTGTGAAAGACTTTAAATGCCAAACCCAAGAGTTTTGTATCTTAGAAGGAATTTGTAGCCATTGAAGTTTCTTGAGCAGGGGAGTAGTAGGGTCAATTGTTTTTCACCATCAGACCTTATAAATCAGTTTGTTATGCAGCTCTCTAATGCATATTATCATGCGCCATTTTGTATTAGTTATCAGTATTTGTGTCTTATCACTCAATAATGTGTCTTATCACTCAATAATTTGTGTCTTATCACTCAATAATAATGTTCGGGTGTATCCTATAAGGGATGGCTCTCTGGGAGGGGGAGCAGAATGAAGAGGAGAAGGTTTGAAAGGGAAATGTAGACAATGTAAATAGAAAAAGATATCAATAGAATTTTCTAAAATTACAAAAAAAAAAAACCTGTTTGTTGAACAAATAAATGAATAGCATATATGGGCACACTTCCTATACAAGTAACCTGAAAAGGGGCTCAAATAAGAAATTAATCCTCTGTCTCTGCCTGTCTATCTCTGACTCTATCTCTCTGTCTTTGTGTCTCTGTCTCTGTCTATCTCTACCTCTCTCTTTCACACCACACACACACACACACACACACACACACACACACACACACACACAC